GGCCGCCCGTCAGCAGCTCAGCTCAAGGTACCATGTTCAGTCTTAGTTGCAGGGAGGTGTAGCCCACCATCCCATGTGGGAGTCGAACTGGCAACCTTGTTGTTAGGAGCACATGCTCTCACCAGCTGAGCCATCCTGCCACCTATTGGCAGCTCAGTGGCAGCGCAGCTCGGGCGCAGGTCACTAGCCCATTGAACTGGTGACCCTGTTGCTCAGAGCTCATGCTCTTAACCCACTGAGCCACTCGGCCGGCCCTGGACATTTTTTTCTTTAAGAAATAGATGCAAAGGTGATAAGCATTCAGTAGTAACCATACATCCAGTTTTAAATTTTGATCTTTTCCTGGGCAAGCCATCACAGCTCCCAGTCAGCCACGTGACCATGAGGGTAAACAACTGATACTTTATAGTGTATTCATTGTGTTAGATGATTTTGCCCAATTATATATAGCCTTATGTAAGTGTTTTGAGCACATTTAAGGTAGTCTAGGTGTATTAAATGCATTTTCAACTTCAGAATATTTTCAGCTTAATGGGTTTATCAGGATGTAGCCCCATCATAAGTCAGGGAGCATCTGTATTTCAGACCACAGTTTTCAAAGACTGCACTGAGAAATAGGTTAACTCTGGATATTTAAAACAGATCATTTATAATATGTATTTTACAGATTCCCTTTAGAAAACATTATTCTCAGTGTTGGAAAATAATTGGAATAACCAAATACATCATTTAGTGGAATTTTTATGGTTTACTTCAATATGGTCTTGATATTTTATATCACCCATTTACGTTACATTTTTATTACTGAAATCGACACCTTATGTTTCTGCCAACCTAAAGGGATATTTATCTTGAAAAGTAAAATAAAATGTCTACCTGTTATCATAAGTTGCCTTTTTCATTTTTTTTTTTTTTTTGCTTTTTAAAGATTTTCTTAAAAACAAATTTGTAAACACGAATCCCTTTACCCAGTAGTTTTATGTGATTTGGGGGAATATATTTGTGAGTAACATGGCTTACAGTTTCACCCAAATGTAAGTGTGTATGTGCATGTGTGTATATGTGTGTGATCTCTACTCATATACCTACTCCATAAATCAAAGGGTCACGCCTCCCTTTCTGTTGTAGTACCTCCATGAAAATGGTATTATCCATCGGGATTTAAAGCCAGAGAATGTTCTACTCTCATCTCAAAAAGAAGACTGTCTTATAAAGGTAAGAAACTTATGCTCTGTGTGTGGCCACTCCAGTAGATTTCTGTTCAGAAACATTTTAAATTCACCAGGTAAAAAGTAGGAGTCTAAAATGGTCGAGAATTTGACCTTTCTACTCTTAGGAATTATTTTAGAGATCAGGTGGTATTGCTTCAATCCAGATTCTAGTGAGCATTCGTTGAGCTCCACTGTGTACAAGCCACTTTTGTGTTCAGAGGGAGGGAGGAGGCGTCTAAATGGATGAGTGAATCACACCCCGTCTTCTGCTTCCCTCTGTCTAAGGCAGTGCTTCTCAAACCTGGCTTTACTTTATATTTATTTATTTATTTATTTTTTTAAAGATTTTTATTGGGGAATTCGGGGATGGGAACAGCGCTGGGGAATTGGGGGAAGGGGAACAGACAAGTTGCTGTCGTTTTGTTCTTCAGTCTAGTTGTGG